GTCTGTTGGCCATTTGAATATCTCCCTTTGTGAAAATTCTTTCCATGTCTTTTGCCCATTGGCAGTTGGGTTATCAGTCTTTTTCTTTTATTTCTTGTATAGGAGCATTCTGTATACTTTGATTATGAAATTCTTTTTTTTATTTTATTATTTTTGTGTGCATGTACCGTCAAATCAGATCTGACTGGTACAGGAGGAGATTGCCCCTCCTTCCCCCGCAGAGCATCTGGTGGATTCGAACCCTGCACCTTTGGGATTGTAGTTGCAGCTTCTTGCCACTAGGCCACCAGAGCTCCCGAAATTCTTATCTGAGATCGTATTACCAAATGTTTGTTCTCAGTCAGTAGGTTTTCTTTTCACCCTGTTGGAAAAAGTTTTTGTTACACAAAGGAATTTACTCTTTAGAAGGTCCCATTCATCAATTTCATCCTCTTCATATTGTACATTTCTGGCTACATTTGGCAATCTCTTTATACCGTAGACTAGGGCTTCTGAATTTGATCCCAATTTATCTCTTCTGAACTTTATGGTTTTGGGCTTTCCTCCCAGGTCTCTTATTGGTATTCCATTAATTCTTTAAGCTTTATTAGTTGTCAATTCCTTCAATCCAAACTGGACTTCTTCCTGTACCCCTTAGTTCTTGATTAGTGCTCTCTCTTTCTGCACCTGTTCTTTTAAAAAGAAAATTAAATTTAAAAAAAAATTTATTATTAATTTCCATTGAAAAACAAGGAACTCATGCAATATTATTCAAAATGGGTGACTCTGGAGGACATTATGCTGAGTGAAATATCTCAGTCACAAAAGGACAAATACTATATGGTGCCACTGTTGTAGAATGAGGCTGACATCAGGGTGAGGGTAAGACTGAGAAAAACTGGATAAATTATGTTTACTGCATTGAAGCCAATAAGGGAAAGAATAGTTTGAAAGTAATATATTTTAGGGAATTATGATTATCATAAGAGTCTGGAATGAGGGTTGCAGAGCGGAGTTTACTCGGGGTGGGGGTGGGGGTGGGGGTGTGCGGGGGGATTGTATACCAATGAAGGAGTTTTTCTTTTGCTTTTCAAGGAGAAGAGCGAACTGGGGATGGGGGCGTGGGCAGGGAGAAAAGTGCAACAGTGAATGAATGGAAATCCAAAATCTCTGTAGATGTTCATTGAAATTAATAAAAAAAATTTTAAAAATTATTATTAATTTCAATGAAAATTTACAGAGGCTTTGGATTTCCATTCATTCATTGATGCACTTTTCTCCCCTCCCAATCCTCCCCCTAGTACACTACCCTCTTGGAAAAGTAGAAGGAAAATTCTTTCATTGTTTTACAATCCCTCCCCCTAGGTCCTCTCCACTATGCAGCCTTCGCCCTGGACTCCTTTCATAACAAAAATACCGAATAACATATCCCTTTTAAACAGTTTTCTCCCTTATCTGTTTCAATGCAGTATACATTATTGAACCCATCTTTCTCAGTCTCCCCCAACCCCTATGTCAGTCCTGTTTTACAACAGTGGCACCATGCAATATTTGTCCTTTTGTGACTGAGATACTTCACTCAGCATAATGTCCTCCAGGATCACCCATTTTGAATAAAATTGCATGAGTTCCTTATTTTTCAATGCAGCGTAGTATTCCACTGTATGACTATACCACAGCTTCTCTATCCATTCATTTGTTGATGGGAAAAATTTTTAAAATTTATTTTTGTTGTTGTGTATCGTCAAATTGGATCCTACTGGCACAGGAGGAGATTGTTCCTCCTTCTCCAGAGGAACATTTGGTGGGTTAGAACTGCATACCTTCGGGATAGCAGTGCAGCTTCTTGCCGCTAGGCCACTAGAGCTTCTGCACATGTTCTGAAGAAGGTCCTTTGTTTCTGTGAGCATCTGCAGACCTCTTGTTCCTTGGAGAGTTGTGTGTGTCTTGGTCTCCCTAGTGGTGAGGAGCTTCCCAGTGCAGAGACTTGAATCCAGAAGGATGCACTCTACTCCTAGAGACTCTTTTGTGGTAATGCATTTCTGCTCTCTCCTTTTCTCTCTCTTAACTTAAAAGGTGATGCCAGCCACATCCTAAAGAAACTCTTTGCATCAGATATCAGGGCCATGATTGGATTAAGGATGTTACAACCACGTTTGGTCCTTTTACAATTGCATGATTTATCAGATCATAGAGGATCATTACAAAATGTCCATATCACATCATTAGGTATGTATGCATTGGAGCAGGAACAAAATCTAACACATGGCTCAACAATAGCCATGCCTTTTGTTCCCAAGAATTATTCAAGGATTTTACAAAATATTCTGGTGTTAATCTTCATCTTCTTTTTCCTGGTTATTCTGTAAGTAAAGCAATTAATAAATTTCTTTGCTCTAGGCAACTACATGCAACCAACCAATCACAGTTGATTATTCTTTAATATCTTTTTTTGGGGTGAGATACTTCAAATTCCTTTTGGTAAAGGGCACCGTGGTGGTTAGTAATCTCACTGTAGTTTCTTTCAAATAGTTGCAACCCCTCTTCCAAGATTACCAAGTTTCCCATTAACTTTGTTTCTTTCTTGGAATAACTACCCAAAGTCAGCTGCTCACCTCCCCTGCCTTTGGTCACGAGCTTTTTCACAGGTATCGTGGTGGCAGTGGAGGTAGAAAACTACATGACTACTCATTTTTCATTGGATTTTACATTGTTTGGTTCCTTTAAGGAGAGTTGGCCTTTGTCCTGGCAGAAGATCAAGAACTACAGCCTTCTGTGTGGATTGTATCTTAACATCAAGAAAACAAAGGTCCTCACTATAGGACCAACAGTCAACATTATGACAGTTGGAGAAAGAATAGAAGATGCAATGTGTTCCTCTTACTTGGATCAACAATCAATACCCTTGGTACCAGCACTTAGGAAATCAGTATTACATTGGGCAAGTCTGCTCTTAGGGACCTCTCCAAAATGCTAAAGAGCAAGGATGTCAGTTTGAAGACTAAGGTGCACCTGATTCAGGCCATGGTCTTCTCAGTCACCTGGTATGCATCAGAGAGTTGGACAATGAAGAAGAATGACAGAAGAACTGATGTCTTTGTGTTGGAGAAGAATGCTGAATAACCCATGTGCTGCCAAAAGAACAAACATAGATGTTTTGGAAAAGGTACAGCCAGAGTGTACCTTGGAGGTAGATTAGATGAACAAAGCTTCCTTCTGTCATTCTTTGAATATGTAACTAGACAAGGCTATTTCTTGGAGAGGGACATAATACTTGGAAAGACAGGAAGTCAGCAAAGGAGAGGAAGATTCTTAACAAGATGGCTTAACACAGTGACTTCAGCAATGGGCTCTAATGTGTCAGAGATGATGAGGATGGCACAGGATAGAGCAGGGTTCAGGTCTGCTATTCGTGGGGTCCCTTTGGGGTACTCAACTCAGTGGCACCTAACAACAACAATTATATCCTCTGGAGTCACAATGAGTCACATTTGAACTTAATGACAGTGGTTTGTGGTGGTGTTGTATTGGGGAGTTTTCATGTGTGTGTTTAAGTTAATCTTGACCCTTTGCTTAACAGAAGAAACTGAAGCCCACAGAGGGGTCATGATTTAGTTAAAATGTCAAGGGAATCAATCAGTAGCAGAACCAAGAAGAGAATCACAGTGTTCTGACTTTGTCACCCAGACTCTTTTTTTCTTTCTTTCTTGTTGTGTACCATCAAATCAGATCCAACTGGCATAGGAGGAGACTGCTCTTCCTTCTCCAGCGGTATTAGAACTGCATGCCTTAGGGGTTGCAGCATAGCTTCTTGCCAGTAGGCCACCAGAGCTTCCTACCAAGACTCTTTTCTAAGGACATCTGTATCCTGGATCTTCTGTTCACATGTTGCAATGACACAGCCTGAAAAGTCTTCTCCTCAATGAGAAAGCCAAGCAGAGGGGCCATGCGGAGGACTCCCATCCCTTAGAGCAGCCATGGAACTCTAAACTAGAGCGGAAGAAGGGTTTGACACTGTGTGTGTGTGTGTGTGTGTGTGTGTGTGTGTGTATACACTTGCTCGCATGTGTTAGGGAATAGGATGTGATCTCGACACATTTCCCAGTGGCAGGAAGTGACTGGAATCCACACTAGCCTGCGAGTCACAGAACAAGGGGTGCCTGGAAGGGGGCCAGAGGTATAGTAGGGCATAGGGCAGGAGGCAAGCACAGCAATCCATGCTGTGGGCGACCAGATCCTTCCGCCAGAGCTGGCTACTTCTGCCTTTGGAGAGACTTTCGTAATATCCCACTTGTGAGTGTGCGATGGTGATGTAAGAGGGGACCGCCTTGCTCAGCTCAGGATGGGTAAGGCAGCAAGCGCTCACACACTCACGTGTCGGTGCACAGAGAGGAAGCCCAGGCTGGGGAGCAGTGCAGCACATCACCCCCACACCAAGCTGACTGAGACCTGCCGTCTTTATGACAGGTGAGTGGCCACTGGAAGGGTCAGGGTGGAGCCCAGGTCTGGGGGGAGACTCGAGGAGGCAAAGGCATCCCTGGTCCCCTTTGACAGCCCTGGTCTAGGCTGCAATTCTGAGCACCAGCCTGGAGTTGGATTCTTCTTCTGAAGGACTTACTCTCCTTGTCTGGTCTTAGAGACCCTTGGCTTCCTCAGCTCCTGGAGGAGGTGGGGAGACTGAACCCAGAAACACACATGGTGGCCCCAATTTGTCCTGTACAGAGTCTAGTGTCTCTCTCCCCATCCTGTGTGTGAGGAGAGGTTTTGGTTTGGGGTGTCTGAGCTCCAAGGGGAGGAGACTGTAATTCTGAAGCATCTGTTCCTCCTATCTCCTGCTGGGTCTCTTGGTCAAAGGTTGGAGGTGATGGACCAGGATGGAGCTGGGCCAGGACAGACTACTAAGTTGGGCTTTGATTCCTAGACTTTACTAGAAGGAGGAGAGGACTACAGCAACTAGTTTTAGCTCTGGAGCTCCAGAAAAAAATCAAGTCACTCATCATGCCTCCTGGAACCCCTCACAGGTGACAGAGGCCCCCAAAGGCTAAGCAGACCCAGCTATGGCTCCATCTCCAACCCACCCAGCCCAGGGTCACAGCAAATCCCACCCAGAGAGACCAACTGGAGTGAGAAGACCACCATCCCAGACACAGAAGTGGTGGGAATACGTCAAACTTCTTGGGGTCTTTCAGAGCTGGTGGGATCATGTGAATGCTCATAGGCTGGGGGAAAGGAGGTGTCCACTACCATGACACGTCTTTCCAGCTCTTAGTAGATGTGACAGACAGCTGCGACTGCTTGCTTCCGGCTTCTATCCACAGTGCTTGCGGAGAGATGCTTAATATTTGTCTTAAAAATAGTGAATGGTTTCTAAATGAATCTCAGCTTTCCTGTGAGGGGAAAGAATCTGGGGTGAACTAGAATTGGGGTTTCAAGTATTAGTTCAGCATCAAAAAGACAATATTTAGACAAGGGTCTAAGGAGAGACGGAGGAGGGGACAAATTGATGTTTGGGACGCGACATCTTGCTCTTCCAGAAACTTTAGCAGATGCCTATTCAAGGTCCAGGTGGCGCTTGGGGAACCCCTAACCTCAGTGGATTCCAGCGGGGAAACCCTGTGGTCTGAGAAGGGATGGGGGCTGGTCCAAGGAGGGCTTTGAGGTTCTGCTGAGTCAGGACCTGTGAGAGGCAAGCTGGTCAGGTGAGGGGGGTGGGGGGAGCACAGAACGTGACAGTCGGAGAAAGCGGATCCACGGTGACTCAGCTAATCCTGCAGTTCCCCCCCACCCCCACCCCCCCCACACACCACACCCTCCCTGGCTTCAGGGTGGCAGCCGCGCTGGGCGGGTGGCTGGGCTCTGAGCCTGCTAGGGCTTGGCAGAGGCAGAGAGCTGCTTAGGCCCCAGCCCACCCATCCCTAGAGCCTTCCTGCTGAAGCTCCCCCCTAGCCTCCCCCTCCCCTTGCCTCCCCCAGGGCACGTTCAGCTTCCGGAAGCTGTGGGCTTTCACAGGGCCTGGCTTTCTCATGAGCATCGCTTTCTTGGACCCGGGAAACATCGAGTCAGATCTGCAAGCTGGAGCTGTGGCTGGATTCAAAGTGACTGAGCCCAGGGTTTGACAGGCCTATGGGGTCAGAGTGGGTGCAGACCCACAGCTTTCTCATTTCTTCAGGGTGGTCAGCAGGGCTGGGGCTCCTGGGAGCAGGTGTTGAGTTCAAGATGGGCCGGAACAGAAGCCCCAGGGAGGCCCTCCAGAGGGTGGAGTGACTGGCTTGAGAGTGGTCTTCCTGCTTCCTCTCCCCAACTCCCTCCCAAGGAGCGTCCTTGTTCCCACCAGCTGGGGTCACCTGATATGGTCTCTCTGCTCAAGGCACCTCCCTGCCTTCTCCACAGCTGCTCTGGGTGCTGCTGTGGGCCACAGTGTTGGGTTTGCTCTGCCAGCGGCTGGCAGCTCGGCTGGGCGTGGTGACAGGCAAGGACTTGGGCGAGATCTGTCATCTTTACTACCCTAAGGTGAGGTGGTGCTGGGTCCCACCAGGAAACAACCCCAGGTTCCAAATGCTGCCCAGTCATTTACAGCTTCCCTGATCAAATAAATCCATCTCATGTGGGTGTCACAAGTCCATTTTATGGATGAATAGACTGAGGACAGAAAACTAACAACTCATAGACTGAGAGAGACATTAGTGCCAAACTCATTTTATAGCCCAAACCAAAAACTCACGGCCTCGGAGCAGATTCCGACTGTGGGACTTTCCTCTGAGTTTCCAAGACTGTAAATCTTAATGTGTACAGACCTTTCTCTCTCGGAATAGCTGGCGGGTTCAAACTGTCAACGTCTTAGTTATCAGTCCAACACTTGTCCTAGTAGGATACCGGAGTTCCTTTCATTTTACAGAGAGAAATTAAAACCTAAGGGAATGAACAGTACAGGGTGAAAAAATAGGTAGACTTCATAAGGTAGCTCCAGTGGCTTAGTGATAAGGAATTGTGCTGTCAACCCAAAAGGATATGGTTCAAATCCACCAGCTGCTCTGCTGAAGAAAGATGGGCAATCTCCTTCTATGTGATTTACTGCCTCGAAAATCCACTAGAGGGTCAGCTATGAGCTGGTTCTGACTCGACAGTATATACAATTTAACTTATCTACTGAAATACATTTCTTGTATCATCATACTGACAACGAAGCTGGTCACTGGATGAGGAGAGCAATTGCACAGTGTCTACCTAGGAAAACAGACAGCAAATCACTAGCTACTTCAAAGGGATGAGATGCAGGCACTTAGTTGCAAAGACATTAGAAAGACTGGAAGGAGGAGAAGAGGAGAGATTTTTTTTCCAGACACCAGGGTTCTCCTGTACTTCTGCACAGCGGCCAAGAGCATCATTTACTGCCAACCTTCTGAGGGTCTCCATTGCCACCACTGCTAAAATGACCACCAGTGGTGCTGTGCCCGTTGCCACCACAGCCAGACACATCATGAGAACAGGAGAAACCTTTCTCCCACCTTTCAGTCCCCTGAAGTGTTTCCTGCACACACCTAACAGGCAGCAGCTGGCAGAGTTGTCTTGCAAATATAGTTTTCAGTCTTCTAGCCGAGCTGCATAATGCAGACTGGAAAGGGGGATGTGGTAGAGTTGGGAGACAGGAGATGGACAATGGGCATGGCCTCCATGTGGCTTCCTTCCCCCAACAGGTGCCCCGCACCTTGCTCTGGCTGACCATCGAGCTAGCCATTGTGGGCTCAGACATGCAGGAGGTCATTGGCACGGCTATCGCGTTCAATCTGCTCTCAACTGGACGGTACTGCCCTGAGGGCCCTCGGTTATACAACCTGGTTGAAGACAATTCTCACCTCTACCCTGTGCTTCGACCTTTCCCAGGTCCATTTCAACATGTAGCCAGCCCCTCTCTAACATAGAGCTAATGCCCTGTTTGCCAGATGGGTAAACTAGGGCTCAAAGATGTAAGGCAACTTGCCTAAAGTCATGCAGTACTGGAGTTGTGTAGACTTTAGGTCCACAGTCTATACTGCCTGCTATCTGAGTCCCCCTGCCTCCACCCAAGCCCGACTCTACCCTTCAATTGTCCTTGATTCCCCCCCCCCACCCCCATGCCTAGTACTCCCAGGGCTCTCTTCCTTAGCTCTCCAAGGCTTCTTGCTTGGGTCTCTGTCCCTAGGAGGCCAGATTCTGTCTCCATCACTGACAGTGGGTGGTCCAGACCCCTGGACCAGGCAGGGCTGACTCTAGTCACTCTGCTTTCAGAATCCCCCTCTGGGGTGGCGTCCTCATCACCATTGTGGACACCTTCCTCTTCCTCTTCCTTGATAACTACGGTGGGTCTCCTGGTGGGAGGGGCTGGGGTGGGACAGCTGGGCTAAGAGACATTTTAATGTAGGTCTGCTGGTGCTCACAAGGGTCAGGCTTCTTGGGTTCAAACCTGAGCTCAGTTACCCCAGCTTCTAACACCTTTTAGACTCTGTAACCTGGGGCTCATAACAGCACAGACACCATACGGCTGCTATGCAGAAGCCATGAGACAATCTAGACTCATACTGGACATAGTGCCTCAGCATGGCCCTCAAAACTGCTAACCATCAATAGTTACAATTGCTTGTTCTGTCCCGTTGCTCTAGGGTTGCGCAAACTAGAAGCCTTTTTTGGATTTCTCATTACCATCATGGCCTTGACCTTTGGCTATGAGGTGGGGAGCCAGAGATGCAAACGCAACTGAGGTCACCTCACCTGTCCCCATGCATATCTGAAACTCATCCCCCTGCACATCTGAGTAGCCCTTCACCATGTCCAGGAGCTGCCTGGACTGCAGGAAGTGGGAAGCGGGGGGGGGGGGGGGGGGAGAGTCATGAGGACGGGTGACCCTGGAGAGGTGGGCACCAGTAGGGTTTGACACTTGGCCTCACAGTGCTTCTCCCCACAGTATGTGGTGGCCCGTCCAGCGCAGGGAGCGCTCCTTCGAGGCCTGTTGCTGCCCTTGTGTTCGGGTTGTGGGCAGCCTGAGCTGCTGCAAGCCGTGGGCATTGTGGGTGCCATCATCATGCCTCACAACATCTACCTGCACTCTGCCCTGGTTAAGGTGAGTGGAGGTCCAGGGGGAGAGAGGCCCAGATCTCTAGGCTCCTTGCAGGCCCCAAGCCTGGAGCCCTTTGATGATTTTAGTGGGAAGAACATCATTCTCCACATTTTCACATATAGTAACACTGGCTGGCGCAGGAGTGAGGAAAAGACGAGGCTCCCGTCCTCATAGAGTTTGTAGTCTAGTAGAGGAGACGGATGAGCAAGTCAAGTAGGAAAGAATGATAGCTGGTGGCAGGGCACTCTGAAGAAATGAATGGAAGTCTAAAAGAAACCTTGGAGATGGTGTTCTGAAGAGGTGACCTCTGGGACTTGAAGGGTGTGAAGGAAGATCCAGGGAGAAGAAATCCCAAGCACTGGAGCAGTAAATGCAAAGGCCCTGAGGAAGCAATACATGGTATGTTTGAATTCCAACAGTGAATGAGAGGAGCATGCCAGGGGCCAAGGGTAGAGAGGGCAGGAGCCAAGACTCACAGGTCTCAAAGGCCAGGCCGCTGTCATTCACAGACGATCACCAAGGACGAGTGCAACAGCAGAGAAGTGGGAAGGGAATTCAGTGTCCTGCCTGTTCCAAATTGTCACACAGGGGGCTTTAGAGGTGTGAGGATGACATGGGGGTGGCTGTGATCAACTCTGGCTCTTCTCTCCCTGACCCCGCCCCCCAATCCTAGTCTCGAGAGATTGACCGGGCCAGCCGGGCAGACATCCGAGAAGCCAACATGTACTTCCTGATTGAGGCCACCATCGCTCTGTTTGTCTCCTTCTTCATCAACCTCTTTGTTATGGCCGTCTTCGGGCAGGCGTTCTACCACCAAACCAACCAGGCTGCGGTGAGGCAAACCCCCTCCTCACTCACTCCCTGCAAGCTGGCCCAGCACTGCAGCCACTAGTGCCGGGAGGGGGATGGGCTCTGCAACCCACCCAGTCGGGGGATATCACTGCCCTGGGCTAACCCTAGCGCCAAGCAGGCTCTTAGAGGGGCATGTCCACAGTGGGAGGTGCAAGGCATGGTCTTCCAATGGGAGCAAAGAGCTGACGCCCAGCGCAGTAAGCATTCCAGCAGCACCTAAATGAATGGGCAGGATTTGCAGGGCTAACTGCAGTAAGGGCTTCTAGGCAGAGGAGGCGCCCCACACGGCCTGCATTTGAGAAGGTGCAGAAAACAACGGTTCGCTGAGGTCCCTCTCCAGATGATCGTCAGTGTCAGCAACTAAGCTGTCATCCACTCACCAAATTTTTTTTTCAAGAAATCAAAAGATGTATTATTACATTGGGCAAATCTGTTGTCACTCACCAAATTTTTAACGAGCACTTGTTAGTACTAGCTCTGGTGGCCTAACGGAGAAGGAGTTGAGCTGCTAACCCAAAGGCGGGAGGTTCAAATCCAACAGCTGCTCTTCAAGAGAAAGATGGGCAGTCTCCTCCAACCCACTGCAGGGTCAGCTATGAGTCGATTCTGACTTGCAATGAGAATGCAAATGAAAAAGGCAGTGTCCTAGACCACGGAAATCAAGTAGTCAGTGATTCAAAGACCCTGCAGAAGCTTAAGTGGGTGCGGGAAAGCAGATAAAAGTAAGTGAACAAATAGATATACTAGAAAGCACCACTTGGAACTGATGCTGGAAAGGAAATAAGGGGCAGGAGAGGAAAGAATTGGAGGGAGAGGTTTGCATTGACACAGGTGGTCAGGAAAGGACTCTTGGAGGAAGTGACATTTGTGGGTGACATTCCCCACTACAACTACCCCCTCTTTGGGATTTTGGCTCTGACAGCTGCTGGTCATTGCTGAGTGCTTACACTGAACACTATAGAGGTAAGGATTGGCTGGTTTCTGGTGGCCACCGGCCATAAGACGGTAGGAGGTCACTGACCCTTGCTAGGCCATTGACTCTGCCTAGGTCTCATTCTGAGAGATGGCAAGACTTTGTCACTCCTACTTTGGGCATGGTTTCAAGAGGGACTAGTCCCTGATAAAGGACATCATGCTTGCAAAAGCAGATGGTCAGCAAAAAGATCAGAAGAGCCTCAGCGAGAGGAAGTGACTCAGGACTGCAACAATACGCAGAGCAGAGATTGTGAGGACGGCACGAGACCAGGAGGGCTCCGTCTGCGGAGCAGAAGGTGCTGTGAGTTGAAACCAGCTCAGTGGCACCTAACCGTGACAGGTCTCACTCTAATCCTTAGCCAAAGGGCGAAGTCTAAATAGTGGCACAAACGCCAGGTTGCCATGTGTAAGAAGAGAGGACAGGCGAGCTCTGGTGGCCTAGTTGCAAGAAGCTGCAACTACAGTCTCAGAGGTGCACGGTTCAAATCCACCAGATGCTCTGCTGGAGAAGGAGGAACAATCTCCTCCTGTACCAGTCAGATCTGATTTGACGGTACACACAAAAAATAATGAAATAAAAGAAATAAATAAAAAAAAAAAAGAAGAGAGGACAGTGGGTCAGCCTCATCGCATCTGGTCCATTGTCTGTGGACCAGATGTCTAAATCCACAAGAAGCTGGAAATTCAGGCCCTCGTTTGAAATTATCCCAGTTTGGGTGACAAAGTCAGATTGGGGGGCGGGGAAAGCATATGCACACATACGTCCATACACTCCTTTCATTCATTGCCATGGTCTCAGAACCAATTTGTAACTGACCTCTGACCCTCCAGGAGTTTTTCTGAAGCTGTAAATGGAAAGGTAGGAAATTGCCCATCTTTCTTCTGCTGAGCTGCTGGTGGAATCGAACCAGAGAGAAATGACAGCCTTAAGTTAGCAGCTCAACTCCCCACGGACTAGGCCCCCAGAACTCCATGTAAATGGCACAGTCAGCCCAGGGGCCATCAGTTTTGGACCCATCAATATCCTCTATGCTTGATGATCTGGTTTCCCACGACTGAATGTGCACGTCTTTATGTCTCTCCTCCTGACCCCGTGCCCGCAGTTCAACATCTGTGCCAACAGCAGCCTCCACAACTATGCCAAGATCTTCCCCCAGAATAACCTTACGGTGGCAGTGGACATCTACCAAGGGGTAAGATCCTGGCCAAGAAGACAGGGAACGGAGAGCAGTCTCTTCCCGGCAGCAACTACCCGGGGGCGGGGCCTGTGCACAATGGGGCGGGGCTGCACAACATGGGCGGACCTACACTAGATAGGGCGGGGCCTGCGCAGCACGAGGTGTGGCTTGAGGAGCGGGGCTGCGCTCCATGGGGCGGGGCCTGCACAGCTTGGGGGCGGGGCCTGTGGGGCGTGGCTTGAGTAGTGGGGCCAGGCCTGCCCAGCGAGAAGGACGGGGTCTGCACAGAGAAAGTAGTGGGGCCTGAGTCCCACACCTCTCTCTCCCGCAGGGTGTGATCCTGGGCTGCCTCTTCGGCCCTGCAGCCCTCTACATCTGGGCGGTGGGTCTGCTGGCAGCGGGACAGAGCTCCACCATGACCGGCACCTACGCGGGACAATTTGTGATGGAGGTGGGACCACGGGTCAGCCAAGGTCTGAGGAACACACACACACATAGTCCCCTCAGCCCCAAGGTTGCCATTATAAACCCCACTTTACAGATGAGAAAACTGAAGTTCAGAGTAGTGAGAGAACCTTTTCCCAAACCTGGTTAGTGGTCAGCTGTTGCCCTGGGAGGGGGATCAGACCATCCCTCTCCACCCATCCCCTTTTGCCAACGAGGAGCAGACTTGCCTCCCCCAACTTCACAGAAAGAAAACGAGGGAAACCCAGAGGCAAAGAGGTAGACTGAGGAGTTCCTCCCCTGGGATGCCCCAGCCCCACCCCCAGACCAAGATGTCCGCCCGATGCCACAGGGCTTCCTGGGACTCCGGTGGTCCCGCTTTGCCCGGGTCCTCCTCACCCGCTGCTGTGCCATCCTGCCCACGGTGCTAGTGGCCCTCTTCAGGGACCTGAGGGACCTCTCGGGCCTCAACGACCTTCTCAACGTGCTGCAGAGTCTGCTGGTGAGCTGGGGTCCCTCCTCCCTGGTGCTGAACAATGCAGGAGCCGCAGCAATCTCTCTGCGGAGCTTCTGCTCACCCCATGCCCACAGCCCTTAACGCCCCCTTCTACCGAAGACTGTGCTGCTCTTGCTGTGATGTGCCTCACTCACAGCTTATCCTCCAGCGAGCTCTCAAAGTCTGTAAATCCTTCTTTGAGGGAGACAGAGTGCCCAATTTTCTCCCATGAAGCAGCTGGTGGATTTGAACCACCTGCCTTTGGGTTGCCAGCACAACACTTTACTCAGTGAGCCATCACAGCTGTCAGGGAAGGCACACACATGCGGAGACTGGGCCCCAAGTGGTTAAGGAACTTGCCTAAGGCCTGGGTGGCCCCCTCCCCTCATCACTATAATGTCAGGGCAGTGTCTCAGCGGGTCACCCCTGTTGTCCCAGCTGCCCTTTGCTGTACTGCCTATCCTGACGTTCACCAGCATGCCTGCCCTCATGCACGAGTTTGCCAGTGGCCTGTGAGTATTCCCTCTGCCAAGCACCGTATTTGTGTTACCATCTTTAACCCTTGCCTCCACCCTGGGGTTGTGGTTGGTTATGTGCCATCCCTATGAATGACAGCTCTAAACTTAGCCCAATCCTGAGCCAACCTCACTATCTCCAACACTCCTAACCCCATTGTTACAGTCACTGTGTCCATCCGTCTCTTGAGGGTTTTCCTCTCTTGCACTGACCCTCCACCTTTTCAAGCATAGTGTCCTTCTCCAAGAGCTGGCCCCTCCTGACAACATGCTCAAAGTATGTGAGACAGTTTCACTATCCTTGCCTCCAAGGAGCATCCTGGTTTCACTTTCTCCAACACAGCTCTGTTCTCTTGGCAGTCCATGAGACATAGAGTACTCATCTCCAGCACCACAACTCAAAGCATTGATTCTTCTTCTGTCATCCTTAGTCACTGTCCAGGTTTCAGATACATGACCACTGAAAAGACCATGGCTTGGATCAGGCACACCTTAGTCTTTAGACTGACATCGTTGCTCTTTAACACTCTGGAGAGGTTCTTGACAGCAGAGGTCGAATCTCCAGTCACCATCCAATCAGATGAGATGATTGAGGCTCAGAGAGGTCCAGGCACCTATCTAGGGTCACACAGCCAGCAAATAAAGGAGTAAGGATTAGGACTGAGGGGTGCTTCTTCTGGTGTATGAGATCCCCACCTTCCTCTCTGACTGCATGCTTGCACATCCAACCAGTGAGGAGCCTGGAGAGCCGTAGAGGGAGGAGATGGGCGAGGGCCAGGGAGTCAGGCTTTGGTAAGTCCACCCTTCCCCTCTGCCCTTGTGTTCCCAGGCTGGCTGTGGGCACAGGAGGAAGAGGAGGGGTGGATGACCCAATTACATTCTGCTAGTCCTAAGATCCCTTTCCGTCCCTCAGGCTTAGTAAGGTCATCACTTCCTCCATCATGGCACTGGTCTGTGCCATCAACCTCTACTTCGTGGTCAGCTACCTACCGGATCTTCCCCACCCTGCCTACTTTGGTCTGGTAGCCCTGCTGGCCGTGGCCTACCTGGGCCTTATCATCTACCTGGTACCGTGGGGCCAAAGGGTGCCTTAGGCATTATGGGAACAAGGGAGTGACAGCTGGTGGGGGTGGGGGTGTTCCATGCTATGACTCTCACAGGGAGCCCCCAAAAAAATCCCCAACCGGACTCATTCACTGCCACCTCCTCCCCCAGGTCTGGACCTGTTGCATTGCTCATGGAGCAACCTTCCTGGCCCACAGCTCCCACCAACACTTCCTGTATGGGTTCTCTGAAGACGACAAGGGGAAAGGAGGGGCCGCTGGATGAGCCCCCCACGGGGCAGACGCCTGATCTGCTAACCTGGGCAGCAAGCAGGGGAACAGAGCCAGCAAGATGGCTTTCTGGAGGCAGCCCACCCGGGGTCCATAAGAGGACTGCTGCCAGCGAGCCTGGCCAAGGGCCTCTCTGTCTTCATCTGTAAAGTGGGAACAACTGCCCTGCAATGGATGTAAAACACTTTAGCACAGTGTCTTACAGGTGTTTGGTTTTTGTTGGGTTTTGGTTTTGTGGGTTTTTTTTTTTAAAGAGAACTATTTCTTGAGCAGCTTATAGGTGGGCCTTGACAAACCGACCCGGTGAGGGGGCTAGACACCAGTTGCAAACTGGCACTTTGAGTCTGTGAATGTTAAAAATCAGGTAGTGTCTCCTCCAAAAGAGCAGAGGAACGCGGGGCGTGGTGGGGCAGTAGAAGGGTGACTAACCCTCCTTGCTCTGGCTTTTGACCTAGTGGTCTCAGTCTTCTTGCCTGCCCTAAAGCAGTTTTTCCAGGTAGTAAAGCAGAGGCCCGGGTTCACCTCTCTCCAAACACCAGGTCATAAAGAGCCCAAGAGCCCATGCCTCCGAGGCCCAATTCATTTGTCATTTCTCCAGGGAACTGGACGTTCGGGACTCCCACGCGGAGCTGTTAACGCTCCCAGGACACCGGTTTCCAGCTCCCCCTAGGGGCAGGGACAGTCCCCAATGCCGGCATGCTTCGGCCCCTCAACCCTCAAGGCTTCCTGGGGGAGGAGAAAGCAGGCTCTTAGGTCTAAGCGTCCTGTGGTGCTGGAATCCGCCCCAGAGGAGAGAGAGGGGGGAAAGCTACGTGGGCGGGCGACCCGCGCGGTTCAGAGCGGCCAGACGCCCCTTCGCCTCGAGCAGGGGCAGCTCTTTATAGACGCTCCCTGGGCCGTTTCTAGGCTCCCCTAGATCCCTCCTCCTGTGGCCTTCGCTCCCTCGATTTCTTGCCCCTGAGCGGCCGAGGGGTACGTCTGGGAAAAGCCGCCTACCCTTTCCCGAGCTGAGCTGGGGTGCTGGCTTCTGACCCCTACTCGAACTCTCGGGGAGTCGGTGGGGTGGGCGGCGCGGCTTGGCGCCCTGGTTGGGGCGCTTGTTTGTGAGAAAAATTTCCTCTTTCTTAAAAGGGCTACGTTTCTAGTGGGGCCCGCATGGAGGGCTCACCTTTGGGCAGCAGCTGTAGGAGGGCGCTTGGGCGAAAGGGTCCCCCCCTGTCATCCTCGAACAGGACTTTGCAGATGAGGCCCACGCGCGCCGACCGGAGGCTATGGATGGGGGCAGGGGCATAGTGTAGAAAGACATCTTCCAGATCCTTCTCTACCTCTGGCCCAGCCCTACTCCCTGGTCAGTTTTCTGGTCATTAATTTGGCGCTACATCCTGTGCTAGATCGGTGGAAGGAGAACGTCCTGAAGGAAAAATGACAGGGCAGCTCTCTAGGAGCTCGGTGCAGTGGGGGAGACAGCTACAGAAGTAATTCCCACAACTGTCTATCAGGTCGCTTCGGACCCAGGCAGGGGCGTGCGGGGCAGAGCCGTGGGAGGGGGGGGGGCGAAATACTGCTCCGCTGGGAGGGTTTTAAAAACAGTAGAAGAGGGGGCGGGAGGACCTTGGGGGAACAAGCCTGCTGGGAATGGTGTCCCCCATACAAAAGGGTACAGACAAGAAACTGAATTCTTATATTGGGGAAGGCAGGTTGTAAGAGCAAGCTAGTCATAGATCTGTTAAGCCTAGGACTCAGGGCTCCAAGCAAAGGAGATAGAAAGGGGGGGCCAGGGGGCTGGCTAGGAGCCGCAGAGGGTTAATGGGGGCAGGCCAAGGTCAGCCATTATGCACAGAGAGATTTCTAGATTCTTTCTCCTGGCCCCCCTCCTCCTGAGGTGTGAGCGGTTGCACAGTTCCACTCCTGGATGCACCTGGTCAGCCTCTCAGAAAGGGAGCAGCTTCAGTAAGTGCAGGTGGAGCTCTGCTGGCTTCTTGTTGTTATGTGCTGTTGAGTCGCTTATGACTCACAGCGACCCTGTGTACAACAGCCCTAAACCCTGCTCTGTCCTGTGCCAATCGTACTGTCTCTGACACACCCATCCCGATTACCCCAGTCACTGAATCATAGAGGGTCTTCCCCTCCTGTGCCATCCCTCCACCCTCCCAAGCATGATGTCCCTCTCCAAGGACCTGTCCCTCCTTGCCTCCAAGAAGTAGCCTGGTTTAACTCCAGGATGAATCTATTTGTTTTCTTGGCAGTCCATGGTCCATTCAGTACTCTTCTCCAGCACCACAGCTCAAAGGCATCAATTCTCCTTCTATCCTCCCTAGTCACTGTCCAACTCTCTGATACATAACAAGTGATTGCAAAGACCATAGCCTGTATCAGATGCACCTTAGTTTCCAGAGTGACCTTAACAGCACACCTTCCCATCGCAATACATTTTTTTTATTTCTTGGCTGCTGGTGCCAAAAGTGTTGACCGTGGAGCCAAGCAAACTAAAGTTGTTAACAATCTCAATCTCTTTACCATCCATCCTGATGCTGCCAATTGGTCCAGTGGTGAGAATCTTTGTCTTCTTGACATTGAGCCTCAATCCATACTGAAGGCTGCAGTTCTTGACCTTCTGCAGCAAGTGCATCAGGTCCTCCTCAGTTTCAGCAAGCAGGGTTGTGTCATCTGCATAACGCAGACTGTTACTAGATCTCCCACCAATCCTGAGGCCACACTTCTCCTGATAGAGCCCAGCCTCTCGGATAATCTGTTCTGCATACAGGTTGAAAAGGTATTCTGCTGGCTTAGTGGTAAGAAATTGCACCGCCAAACCAAAGGCAAGTGGTTCAAACCCACCAACTGTTCACGCGGTTGGGGGGGGGGGTGTTTGTAAATAGGAAATCGCCTCCCTGTTTCTGGAATCCCTTTGGAAGGTCAGCTAGGGTCACATCTGACTGGGCAGCACAGGCCGTCCCCACCACTGGGGCCCTGAGGGCCTGGCGCCCCAACCAATGGGGCCCGGAGCTCCTGCCCGGCCTTCTGCACAGTCCCGTGAGACTTCCCTTAAAGTGGGTTCTTCCCAGGCCCGTTTGGAAGACAGAAAACAGAGGTGCTGGGTGGAAAAGACATTTGTCCTCAGTAGCCACAGGGAGTCAGGCACCCAGCTTTCCTGACTCAGTCCCGAGAGACCAGGATCCTCCTGAAGGTGCAAACGGAGAATAGACTCAAATAAACGTGGATAATACATTCAAATAAACGTGTAAAGCGGTCTCCAGATGTTGTGGTGGGAGGGGTTGTGGTGGTAAAAGCAGGGCGCCCACTCCAGCGGCTTCTGCAAAACTTACATCAGCTCCCCTGTCCCCAAAAGGCCTGCAGGGCCCTCATTCACCTCCCTAGCGAACCCCACAGCCTCGCCTGAGGAAGATTACTCCAGATTATTAGGCCCAAGGTGCGTTTCCGGGCAGCCTTGGTGGGGAGAAGGAAGGTCGCCCCCCCTGGGAGAAGGGCCCGCACCAGCAAAGGCTTGGAGGTGACTGGAGAGGTGTGAAGGCTCCAGGGGTGAGCAATCCCATCTGCTCAGGGTGGCCCCGTTGGTCTCATCCCTCTTAGCTCCTCAGACCCCTCACAAACGGGGAATCGGAGTGCCCTCTCCCCCAGAGAGGAAAGCGGGCGCAGGGAAGAGGTCAGGCTTGGGGTCCCCTCGGCCTTCGAAACGCATTTCCTGTGGGGTGAGTGCGGCCAGCGCATCCCGAGATAAAGCTGGAGGCCCGCCCCGGGGCCCTCCCCTCCTGCGAGCTCAGTTTCCATATCTGTGAAATGGGATCAGATCGGGTGGGTTCGTTCTGAGATAAGAGGGGAAGAGTACAGACAGCGGGAGCGGGCCCCAGGCGAAGGGCTGGCGGCGCTGTCGCCAGTCGGTGGATGAAGAAGCGCAGTGATGGCACGTGGGGACGCCGAGCTGCAGGAGGCGGGCGGGCCGAGGGC